CTCCGACCCCTCCGAGCCCTCCGAGCCCTCCGAGCCCTCCGAGCCCTCCGACCCCTCCGAGCCCTCCGAGCCCTCCGAGTTCCCCGACCCCGGCTCGCAAGCTCGCCTCCAACCCCTCCGAGCCCTCCGACTAGGTCCAGCTGTGACATTTCGATTTCCCTCCTTAGCGCCCCGGGTAGGGCGTGGCCTCCCCTGGAGCCTGCCACGCCCGTTCTGTCTAAGCCCAGGGTTCAGCTTTCCAGTTGATCCTTATCGGACTGGTGAGTTCCGTCTAGCTGTCAGTGTGGCGTCGCAGGGAGTCGTTGGCGGCGGTGCTACACACACTATGCCTGGATTCGTTTTCTCCAAAGGAGTGTTCTGTTTTGACAAGATTTTATGGGCTAGCTATCTGCACAGCCACAGGCGTGGGGAGGTGAAGCATTCTTGGCCGAACCGCCCGGGAGCGCGCGCGGCGAGCCAGCGCGCCTCGCCTGGTGGAACGGAGCTGTCGCGGGGTGCAGTCAGCCGTGCAGTGAGTGGGCGGCGCGAGCGTGCGTATGTGCTGAGTGTCCAGCAGGTCTGCTGCTCAGCCTGGTGGCAGGCTGTGCAGATCTGGTCGGATGGCGGGGCGCGTGCGCGGCGGCCGCCGCGCGCGCGCCTCGCGCGGTGGAGCTGCGTCGTGCCGGGCGCGGCGCGCTCTGGTAGGGCATGGTGCCTGAAACAGTGTGTAGGCGCCTGGCAAAGGGCGTGGACTGTCAGTGAGGTTCACTGCGGCGCGCGCGTCGCGGCGTGAGTGGTCGTGCGGCTGGCTCTGATGGTGCGAGAGGCGCGTGGCTGGTGCGGGCGGCTGGCGCAGCCATGGGGTGCCAGCACAGGGCAGACGCACATGACACAGGCTTCTGAGCGCTGCTCGTGTGTTTGCGTGCGCGCGGGGACGTACGCGCAGTTTTCACGCGGTGTGCGTGGGGAAGGGCATGAGGGGCGCCGGCCGCGCGTGTATTGGCGTGTGAGAGTGCGTGGTGCCCGAAGGCGAGAGGGCCCGAAGGCAGGAGGAAGAGTCTTGCGCCCCGCTAGCAACGAGGCTTACAAGAATTTAAAGATGCTTACAAGAAACTTACTGAGTTTCAGAAAGTAAAATACGTATGTAGGAAGTGAATACGTATGTAGGGGGGGGGGGGGGGGCGTTGTGTGGGATGTGTGGGGAGGCAGGCTGGTGGGTGGCGTGGGCCAACCGGGGCGGCCAACTTGCAACTACGGCTTTACTCCACCTGGACCATGCCGCGGCATGTGCGCGATGCGCGGGCTGCGAAAGCGAGGAATATAGAATGCGGCCAGGTGTAGGGCTGAGACCGTGAGGGAGTGATAGCGACGAAAAAGTGAGGCCTGAGAGAGAGAAGCTCAGCCCGCCCGAGACGCGAGTGGCGAGAGCGGAGAGGAGGCAGGACCAGGAGGGGCGAGGCCGAGGGCAAACATGGGTGACGCTGACGGCTAACAGTTTGGCTATAAACACAAAACAAACTAGGGGCCGACTGCGCAGCGGCTCAGAGACAGAGTCAGGGGCTAGTACCGCGCTCCGGGTTTCCCCTAGCAGCAGAACGCCCCCTCTACTCGGAGCTAGTAAACACCAGACATGCACTCCAACTTAGCGACGGCGTCACCACGTCAAATCCCCCCTCCCGCGCCCCGACAGACCATTCCTAATGACCCACCCACCCCAAAGGCGCGCAGGCGAGGGTGAACTGTCCGAGAGGGGCGGCGCTCTCGTCGTAGAGGCTCCACTCCAAGTGAGTCTGCGGCCCCCCCGCGTAGCTCGTTTCGTACGACGACGTCGAGTCCGGCGGCGAAGCGGACCGAGGGCCGAGGAACGAGGCCACTTGAAGAGGCACTTGCAGCTCGTATTAGCGACCCTTGGCCAGCATGCTCCTCACTCGAGCTTGCCCGCGTGACGAACGGGGAGAGCAGCCGGTCGCGCTCAAACTCCTCGCGGTCGCGCTTGCGCGCCGCGCCGTCGGGGCCATAGGACCCGAGCCGGTTCTGCGCCCGCTCGAGCCAGCCGTAGAGCTGAGGGCGGCAGCGCTTGTAGGCGAGCGCCGCGTCGACCGCCGCGTGCCAGTTCTGCCGCGCGCGCATCCGTGCGGGTGGGAGGCGGACGATCCTGGTGCACGGATGGAAGGCGCGGTCCGCAATCTCTGTGGTGGTCGGGACGACGACCTGCTTGAGGGCGCTGCAGCTCGAGAAGGCGCTGTGCTCGATCAGCGTGAGGCTGGCGGGGAAGGTGATGGACGCGAGGGAGCTGTTGTGGGAGAAGGCCGATCTTCCGATGCTGATGAGGCCGTCGGGAAGGCGGATGTGGTTCAGGTCGTGGCACCTGGAGTCGAGTGCGTTGGTATTGAGGAGGAGAGACAGACGTGTCATATGGAGGAGAGACACGCGCGCGCACCAGAGGAAGGCGGTCCGGTGGATGCGCTCCACACTGGCGGGAATGTTGATGTCCCGGAGTCTCTTACATCCGACGAACGTGCCTTGTCTGATCTCCTTGAGGCCGGCGGGAAGGAGTACAGACCTGACGCCGCAATTCTGGAAGGCGTGCTGCTCGACAGAGCAGCCGTCAGGGATGACAATCGACAGGAGCCCGCTGCAGTTCATGAAGCTGCCTTTACTAACATAGACGAGCGAGTTCGGGAGTGTGACTCGTTGCAGGCACGACTTGGCGTGAAAGGCGTTGCGGGGAATTTGTGTCGTGCCGTCTGGCACCTCGACGAGTTGGTGGAAGCCGTCCCAAGGCTTTGGGTCAATAGGCGGAGGAGGTGGCTTCTCCGGCCCGCCGAAGAAGTACCTCAACATGCGAAGAGGCATTTTGCGAGCATACTGATTTGGACGGCTTCTCAACGCGAGCCGCCATCAACGACTTGCACCCCAGCTGTGAACAGACGCACTTGCCCACGATTCCCGCAGAATTTTCGCTAATCTCTCACGCCTAATAGGTGCACGAGCCCGAACGGCGTCTGGACGGACGGTGCGCAGGGGACGGACTGCTTCGCAGTCCCGGGACTCGGAGAGCAGTGCGGCTTCTCCCGCGGCGCACCTCGAAATGTTGGAGATCCCGTGACGTTCCTGGGCGTGACCTACTGAGTATGATTGTGTCGACGACCTTCATCTACCGACTGCTCTATCTGATCCTTGGCTTCTCCCTCCTCGCGCTCCTCGCCGTTCCTGTGGTCGTCGCGTGTCAGCCTTTGGAGAAGGACGCCCGCACTCGGCTGGGCACGCGCTCGCTAGACGGGCTTCGAGGTCTTGCGGCGATGCACGTCGCGATAGGGCACTACGTGTCCTTCACTGGGCTCGCCGGGCGATTCTCCGATCTGCAGGCCGGCTCCTCCATGGGACTCGTCTACCTCCTCTCCGGGTTTGTCATGGCGTTGGGCTATGGACAGAAGGCCGTTCGTCCCTCTCACTGGCTCCGGCTGCGACAAGTGCTGCTGCGCCTGCTGCGACGCGGATTGCTGCTTCCGCCCTTCTGCGTCTCGCGCGCCGACGCGGCAGCCGACGCGCCGATCTTCGCTGGCCGGCGCTTCTATGAATGTATCTTATTCCGGGGCCGGTGTGCGGGGAGCGAACCTAGAACGACCGCCCAGAAGCTTTCTGAGCGAACCAATCGGGCCAGGATCATCAGCATATGTCCCCTCCACAACATCGTGGGCGTTTGAGCGGTATTTGAGGAGCACCGCCACGATGAAGTTCGGCCGGGTGGTCTGCAGACCCCCAGATGGCCCCGGACGCCGGAGCAGCAGAGGCTCCGTGGGGTCGCAAAGTCGACGCTGGGAGTCGCACTCGTCAAACCATCGCAGCACCACGCGATCCGCACGTACCGCCCACATCCCCTCCACCGCTGAGAAGGCGCAGATCGACCGCCGGGCCGCGTACTTTAGTCGCCTCGTTACCAAAACGGGGCGAATTCCCCCCCCCCCCCCCTCTACGCGGAACGTGCGTACAAACTTCTGCAGAAACTTTTTCTGTTCAGCCCGGACCGCGCCAACCGAAACCACTACCGGCCGGCGGGGGTCGCTCACCCGCATGTACTACGTACTGTAACCGTGGGACTAGAGCTGCCCGCGCTCTGCCCGCACTCTGGCCCCTGGACTCGTGTCTGTGTTCCCTCTGTTGCTGCCCGCCACGCTCTGTCGTCTGTCTCCGCGGGTGCGGCGAGGGTTCGTCCTCACTCGAGCACGATTGCCGACGACTCGTCTCGCCCCTCGGTGCGTCGGCGGCGTCGCGCCGGCCCCTGCAGCGGCTCGTCGTCGGCGTCGGCCGACGTGCCGGCCACAGGTCGAGCGTCGGGCCTCATCCCGCGCACGGCAAGGCCAAACTGAGAAGAGTAGAGGATCGTGGCGCTGGCGACCTCATCGTGCACGGTCCAAGACTGGCTGGACCAGGCAAGCGAAGTTGGGGCGGCGCCGGTGCTGCTCTTGAGCGCGCCCATACCCTCCTTCTTGGACGACGTTGACACTCCCTTGCCCGCCCAGGCCGCCGTCTGAAAGCCTTGGGTGGGCGTGGGCACGTCGCTTGTCGCGCGCTTCCACGAGACCTCCACGCGGCCATACGGCGGTGGCGCGCCTTCGGAGGCCTCGCCATCGTCGCCCGTCTCGTCCGCCTGCTTGAACTTGAAGGCATGCGCCACCACTGTCGCGCCGGCCGCTGTCTGCTGCCCGGTCTTGAGCGGTCCCAGCTGGCTGGAACTCGCCGCCTCGCCCACAATCTGCCAGTTGTACCCGATGCTGGAGCCATCCACCGTCACAAAGGCCTTGACGCGACCTGCTCCCGCTTCGTTGGCCAGCTCGACGAAGAACTCTTGATCGTCCTCGCCCGCCACCCACTCGCGCCCTTGGGAGTCGGTGTACTCCTTGAGCGGCTCACCCGTGGCCGCGTCGACGAGCCGTAGCGAGAACTTGGCCACGCCTGTAGCGCGCACCATCTTGCAAACCGCGGACTGCTTGCCCCCCCCGGGGGGGGGCCAACGGGCTTTGTCGGAAAGGCCCCCCCGTCACTGTGATTATAAAAACCCAAGCTCCTCACTGTGAATTAAATGCCTTCATTCCTCGGCATCCGATGAGAAGAGATCGATCCATCGGGTTTAAGACATCAGACTTGAACCTGGGTGTGTGTGTGTGTAGTGTCCCCAGCTATGGGCGTGTCCACGTTGGAGCCAGGTGTGGTGTGGACGCGAGAATAGCTCCGCCGTTCATGGAGGCAACCGATGCGAGTCGACTGGTGTGTGTCGTCGTGGTTTCGTATAAGAATACTCACTCACCGTATTCAGACCCCTTCTTCAACATGAAGCTTGCGCGCCAGAAGCTCCGCCATGCTAAAGGAAACGATAGGCTCCCTCTCGGTGCCCGGGTAGATGACGCGCGGGTTGAGGTACGGAACGTTTTTGCGTGCCAACGACATCTCGCTCTTTTGGCTCTCCATGCCAGTAAAGATCTCGGTATGCAGCAGAAGCCTCACGCTTTCGAATGGCTGGCTCAGGGCAGCGGCGACGTTGTACGCTGAGACGTCGGCAGCGAGCTCGAACCACCTGAGCACGCAGCGCTTAATACGGTCGATATCGCTGTCCAACAGACCGTGCTCGAAGCGCAAGTCAAGCAAATCGCGTGACACCCGCTCCTCAAGGGCTCCCACACTGAACAAAGCTGGAATCGAGCGCGGCGCCGGCACACGCCTCGCAGCCTCTGCGCACTGCGGGTGCGAAGCGTAGTGATCTCTGACACTGCAGTATAAGGATTGACCACAGGCGGGACAGACGCTGCCGCGGGGCATGACTTGCAGCCGCCAGCGCCAGCAGGGCGGCTGGGGGGTAGGAAGGCGAGCTCACTGGGCTCGTAGGGTCGTTACGAGATCGGGTTTGGTGACCGCCGCAATACCTCCTTGCTCCCCCGACACGATGCGCGAGATTTACGCCCTGTCCCCGCCGCTCCCCACGGTCCCGTCCCATCAGGGCGAAGTTCAGACGGACACAAGGACAAAGGACTTCTTCGCCTACGTGAAAACGGAGTTTGATGGCAAACACGACCAGGTGTGGGACGACGTCACCTCGGAGCTTGTGACCGAGCACGGCATCGTTCAGGTGGGAATGTTCGGCACCCTCCCGCTGGCGACGATGCGCGAGTTGATCGCAGAGAAGGGGGGCAAGGGGTCGTGGGCAGCCACGATCGAGTGCCTTTCGAGGCAGGAGTTTGCCACACCGCCGCCGGTCGTGGCTCGACAAGATGGACGGTGGACAAGGCCGCCCACCGAGCCCTGAGTACAACCCGACCATGCCACCGCTCGACCCTGCTGCACCGGACGATGCTGCGTACATGCTAATGAGCGACGCGCTCCGCAACGACCCCTTCGCCACGTTCGAGGCGGTTCCGGTGGGCAAGGGCGCGGACGTCCGCACCGTCCTCGTCATCGACCGGGGCTTCGAGCAGGCGCTGGACCTGGAGTCACGCGCGCCCGTCCCCTCCTACAAGGGGCGCCGCCTTGCTGAGGACGATGACAACAAGCGCCGCCTCTCGATCTACCCTTCGGGCGCCCCGTACACCCCCAATGACGACCGCAGTGAGGTCCTCTATCCCAACAACCTCTACTGGGGCTGGTCGACCCTCGTCTCGACCGGCAACCGCGTCAGTCCATGGTGCTCGGGCACCATGATCTCGCCGACCGTCCTCCTCACCGCCGCCCACTGCGTCGCCGCCGGCGGCTCGGCTGACTGGGCTGACGGCACCAACTGGCTCACCCAGCCGCAGGTTGGATATTCACTCTTTCTCTCCCCCCATTCCTGCCCAACTAGAATCTGACGACAGCCTCCTACGATGCAGATTTGCGTGCGCGACGCGCAACGGACGACACCGACAGCGGCAGACCCGACCGAGGAGAACTGCGTGAGCAACGGAGGCATCCTCGCGACGTGGCGCAAGATGACCACCTTTGTCAAGTGGACGCGCGACTGGGACTCGGACTGGGACGTCGCCTGGATCACCCTCACGGCCCCCGTCGGCTATACCAGCGGCTGGAAGGGCATCCGCACAGACTCAGTCCCATACCCGGCAGGCACCATCCTCAACGTGGCGGGGTACGGCGGCGACTGCCCAGCGGGCGGCGACTGCTCCGACCACATAAAGACGATGGGCTGCCCAATCGAGTCGTCCTGCACAAACAACGAGCGCTACTACTACAAATGCGACACCATCGGCGGTGGTGGAGCGCTAGCCCATGAGCCCGCAATGTGTGGAGAAGCTTACCCGACCTGATCTTGCTCAGGCATGAGTGGCTCCGGCGCCTACCTGTACTATCCGTCGCTCCCGGTCCCTGACAACCGCGTCGTCATCGGCGTTCATGCCTACGGCAGAGCATAGCGTGGCGCTCCTGCCACACCATCCCATGTGGTGCACGCCTTTCACGATCTCGATTGAATAGGCTTCAACAGCGCCACGTGTGGCCCGTTCAACCGTGCTGTCCGCATCCGCCCCAACATGCTCGCCGCGATGTGCTCGACGACCGACGACATGCTCTGCTTCTGAGTGCTTGGGTGGCCCCGCAACAACCAAGACATCGCAGCGTCCCCCACGTCTCTCGACTAGAGCCCTTTATCGACCAAATCACGGCCGCCGTGCCTTTCCATGGACCATGCCATCCACTCATGCCCCCAAACAGATATGCGCCCCCTCACTCATCGATGATGTCCATGTCCGCACACATGCATGACTTTCCGCATGACCACTCACCCGTCGGTGGAGTGTGTCTCCTTCCTCTCTCTTGTGCACTATTGCGCGCGTGTGTGCCTCTACTAGCTCATGTTTCGGACTTTTGCGTGGTAAGGTATGGTCCGCCAACCCTCCTCGAGACCATAGTACCTCTTTTCTTTACACATTTCACCTTTCAGCCGGTTTTCAGACCCAGACCGAGCTCCGAGGTCCGAGCGAAACGACGCGCGCCGCCGCCGGGGGGAGCGGGAGGCGGTGGGGGCGCGAGATCTGAGATGCAGATGGGCGGGCGGTGTAAGGGGTGAGGCATAAATGTAAATGAAAAAAATGGGCTACACGAAAAGAAACGGGGCGGCCCAGCACGGAAAAGAAAACCGCCGAGGTAATCATGCGACACCGGCTGCGTACACGCGCATGGCGATCGTGAACGGCTCCTTGCACAGCGGACATGGCATTTGTGCCTCCCTGAGACGACTGGGGCAATCCTCGCAAACGCAGTACTGTTCGCACGGGAACATGACGTGCGTGATCGGCTCGGCCATGCACACGACGCACATGAGTGGTTCAACCTCGCCCACTGCCGTTGCCGCCGTCTCAGCAGCGGCCGCCGGCGCCTCGGCAACCTCAAGCGCTGCGAGGCGAAGCGCCGAGCGCCGATAGCTCCTCCTCCAAGGCGTCGATCGCGCCCGCGTGTGGCGTGGCGTCGTCGATCGCGATTCGCAACGCCGCGGCGCTGTCCGCGCTCACGAGGCGCTGCAGCGCGGCCAGCGCCTCGCGCTCCGACGCTGCCTGCCCCTCCGCCTCCGCCGCCTCCGCCTCCGCCGCCCGCCGGATCAGCGCCGCCGCGTGGCACTCGCGTCCTCACTCGGCCTCAGCGCGCCACCGCGTGTGGCAGCACGTGCTCGCGCCACACGTCGGACAGCGCGCTCCAGTCCGGGCGCGCCTCGGCGTCGTCGGGCGGAGAGAGCGCGATCTGGTGGCCGATGCGCATGACCGTTACCGCGTACTCGCGCGCCGCCGCGGGGAAGAGCGAGTGGCTTGCGGGCGACCACGGCGCCGCCGCCCGCCGGATCAGCGCCGCCGCCTCACCCTCGCCGCCCGCGGCGCGCTGCAGCGGCGTCGGCTCGCCCTCGTGCAAGCTTGCGCCGCCGCGCAGGAGGGAGGTGGCGCGGGCGGCGGTGAGGCTCTCCAGATGCGCGAGCGGCGTCCAGCCGCGGCTGGCGACCAGCCAAGCGGCGAGGTCGGCGTGGCCTCGGCGGTTCGCGATCTCCTCGGGCGTGCCGCGGGGCGGCACTGCGGCACGCGAGGCGCCGTAGGAGGAGAGGAGCTTGGCGACCTCGAGGTGGCCCTGGATGCACGCGATGAGCAGCGGCGTGACGCCGTTGTTGCGGGCTTGGCTGACCGCCGCGCCCGCCTCGAGAAGCAGCCAGGCGATCTCGAGGTGGCCCTGCTGGCACGCGATCAGCAGCGGCGTGGCGCCGTTGTTGCAAGCTTGGTCGACTGAAGCGCCCGCCTCGAGAAGCAGCCGGACGATGTCGACGTGGCCCTTCTCGCACGCAATGTACAGCGGTGTGCCGCCAAGCTGCGGGGCCTGATTGATCGCCGCGCCGGCCTCGAGAAGCAGCCGGACGATGTCGACGTGGCCGTAACGGCACGCGATGAACAGCGGCGTGGCGCCGTTGTTGCGGGCTTGGTTGATCGCCGCGCCAGCCTGCCGGAGCACTTGAGCGCACTCGAGGTGGCCCATCTGGCACGCGATGAACAGCGGCGTGGCGCCGTGGTTCGGGGCTTGTTCGACCGCCGCGCCAGCCTCGAGGAGCAGCCGGGCGCACTCGAGGTGGCCCTTCCCGCACGCAACGAACAGAGGCGTGGCGCCATTCTGCTTGGCCTGGTCGACCGCAGCGCTGGCCTCGAGAAGCAGCCGGACGATCTCGAGGCGGCCCTGAATACACGCCATGTACAGCGGTGTGCCGCCACCCTCCTCGGCTTGGTTGACCGCCGCGCTGGCCTCGAGGAGCAGCTGGGCGCACTCGAGGTGGCCGTTCAGACATGCGATGTACAGCGGTGTGAAGCCGCCGTTCATTGCTTGGTTGACCGCCGCGCCAGCGTCGCGCAGCAGCCGCGCGACGTCGAGGTGTCCCTTCAGGCACGCAACGTACAGCGGCGTGGAGCCGTTGTCGCGGGCTTGGTTCATCGCCGCGCCAGCCTCGAGGAGCAGCCGGGCGCACTCGAGGTGGCCCTGCCAGCACGCGATGTAAAGCGGCGTGGAGCCGTCCTCCGTGGCTTGGCTGATCGCCGCGCCAGCCTCGAGGAGCAGCCGAGCGATCTCGAGATGGTTGTTCTGGCACGCAATGAGCAGCGGTGTGCCGCCACCCTCCTCGGCTTGGCCGACCGCCGCGCTGGCCTCGAGGAGCAGCCGGGCGCACTCGAGGTGGCCCTCCTGGCACGCGATGAACAGCGCGGCGCGGCCGGTGCCGTTCGCCGCCCCGACGCTCGCGCCGGCTTCGAGCAGCAGCCGCACCGCCTCGGCCTGCCCGTGGCGAGCGGCCCAGGTGAGCAGCGTGTCTTGCTTCTCGGTGTCGAGCCGCGCGTCGAGCTGGGCCGCGAGCGACGTGCCGCGCGTCCCCCGCCCGGAGAGGAAGGCGCGCAGCGCAGCCAGGTTGCCCACGGCCAGATCTGGCAGCAGGGCTGGGGCTGCGCCGCTCATCCGCCAGAAAGAAGAATTTACCGATTCACGCAGCAAAAAAAAAGGAGGAAGCAGCTCCCGCGCTCGGTAGCTGCTGGTGCGTGCTGGTGCAGAGGCAGCCGTTGTTCGGTGGGTTCGGGCGGCGGCGTAGTGGGCCTCGCTCTCATTTTACGATGTGCGATCGCGTCCCTGAGCCCTTCAACAGCAGGCGCGAGCTCCGGATGCGCCGACCGGACGACTGGCACCACCACCTCCGCGACGGCCCCGACGTGCTGAGGGACACCGTCCGAGCAGCGGCGCGAGCCTTTTCCCGGGCCATCATCATGCCGAACCTCGTCCCTCCGGTGACGACGGTGGCGGCGGCGGGCGAGTACCGCGAGCGGATCGAGGCGGCGCTCGCAGCGAGCGGCGGCGCCCCCGGCAGCTTCACGCCCCTCATGACGCTATACCTCACCGACACGACCACGGTGGCAGCGGTCGAGGCGGCGGCGGCAAGCGGCTTCATCAAGGCGTTCAAGCTGTACCCGGCCGGCGCGACGACCAACTCGGACTCGGGCGTGACCGACTACGCCAAGATCGAGCCCGCCCTCCGCGCGAGATTAGCCGAGATTGCCCGAGATCACGCGAGATTACGTCCCACGCGTCGGTCGTCACGGCGTGCGAGGAGACGACGGCCTCCTCCCACCCTCGCCTCCCCCTCCCCTCCCCCCCCCCCTCTCCCTCGCCTGCAGGCGCGATGGCAGCGCACGGCCTCGTGCTCTGCGTCCATGGCGAGGCGCGCCGGCAGAGCCCACGTCTGCCTCTCTTCTCACCGCTGCCCCCCTCCGCTCTCGCTTACTGCTGCCTCTCCTTCCTGGCTGGCTGCTGGCTGCTGGCTGCCTCTCCCCCCCTGCTCGGCCGCCCCTCTCGCCGCCTCGCTTGGCCGCCCACGCCTCCCGTCTGCCGCGAGACAGCTGCCCACGTCCCCACGTCCCCATGTCCGCATGTCCGTCGCCGCCCGACGCTCCGCACCGCACTCGCCCTCGCCCTCTGGCCCGCCGCCACTGGCGCCCGCAGGTGACGGACCCGGCAGTCGACGTCTTTGATCGCGAGAGAGTGTTTGTGCGCACGCGGCTGCCGCAGCTGATCTCCATGGCGCCTGGCCTCAAGATCGTGCTCGAGCACCTCTCGACCAAGGAGGCAGCCACTTCCGAGACACTTCCGAGACACCTCCGAGACACCTCCGAGACACTTCCGAGACACCTCCGAGACACTCTCGACCAAGGAGGCGCCTCTCCGCCTCCTTCACCGCCTCCTCACCGCCTCCCGCCCCGCCTCTGCACCGCCTCTGCATCGCCTCTGCATCGCCTCTGCATCGCCTCTGCATCGCCTCTGCACCTCCCGCCCCTCCGCCTCCTGCACCGCCTCTGCACCGGCTCCCGCCCCTCCGCCTCCTGCACCGCCTCTGCACCGGCTCCCGCCCCTCCTCCCGCCCCTCCTCCCGCCCCTCCTCCCGCCGCTCCTCCCGACACTAATACTGAGACTCTTGCAACTTCGCGGCTACGTAGTAGTCCCACACGAGCACCGAATGCTGACCCTCACTGAGCAC